TACTGTATATACCCGATTGATTTTGACTATTCTATTAAGCATTATCAAGGATTGTTTTTTTGTTTTTTTAACTGTATGTATAGACTTTTATATATGTGTATCTATAGTGATAGGATTTCTTTTTCTATACAAGGTCAACACTTTGTGGCCGGGTTGATTGCTGATATTATTGAGTACCATCATTTTTTTATTATTAATGCTTCCATTATTTTTTGCCGTTTTTTACATGTGGACAAGGCTATTATGGTCGTATTTTCCACAAGTATGTTAAGAATGGTAGGTTTCTGTGCCTATTTAAATGGGTCCTAATTGAGCAATGTAACATAAGCCTTCCTGATAGGCATGTAGTGGTATGTCCAATATTATTCATTTAGTTGTTTTGACCCAGAACTCAGTAACTTAAAAGACATGTAGATTCATATATAATTTTGGTCCCCCGTCATTTGGATCGTGCGGGTGAGTTGTTATTGTTGTTGGGGTTTAGGTTAGCTGTTTTAAAAAATTTTTATAATAGACAATATAATTTTCTTGTTCTGGTTGAGTAGATTTGGGTATTTCTTTATAACGTTTCTAAGAGAAAATTCATCCTGTTTAGAATTAACATGTATTTGATTTTTATAGAAAATGTTGATGTTATTGCTTTTATCTGTATGTTCCATCTTGCAGTTACTTACTTTAGAAAGAAATAATCTAATTTGGTTATCTATGAGGTAGTTCGGACAACTGTTATTAACTAGCATCTGTCTCACGTTTATCTGTCGTCTTTAATAAAAACTCGTATAAAAGAGGAGTTGCTGCTCAAGTACACAATTATAATATATATATATATATATATATATATATAATATTTGATCGCGCTAAATCAGATGTAAAATGTAGTTGGGCTAAGATTGTTAACTTTTTGATGTTATATTTTTAAATGTATTTGTTATATACCGTACCTATGAACACTAATGGGTATGTCCCAAGTCTCATAAATACGTTAGAATCTATTGTAAGTGGGGGCAATATGCTATCTAAGTAGTTCACCACTATCAGTGGTTTACCTACTTCACGCCGCTGACGAGTATTATATTTTGTTGATGTCATAAATATTACCATTTCATTTCAGCCTCCGTTTAGGTTATTCCTCATTCACTAACTCTTTCTAGGTTACAACAGTATTATCCTACTGTAAATACATTGTTGCTTTAATTTTAAATATACTTTATTATTTTTGCTATAACGCCGTGGATGTGGGTATTTGGCTAATCAGCTTCAAACGCAACAAGGATCGATTTTATGCATATTGTGACTCAATCGTCATTTCACCGTCATTAAAACTATTACTGCCACAGTAGACCGTTTGTTGGCTCATACTTGATGGGAAAAAACATCAGCCTTCACCGCTTGATAGTGTGTTGGGGGTTAGTAATTTTTCCACGAACAACTACCGATAGATACCCACCACAGGTAAATGTGGTAACCTCACAGACCATGTCATTTCTAAAGTCCCCTGACCTAATCTCATGGCCATAAAAATTTGACCTTTGTCAAAATCTTGCGTCATTTGATAATTGAAAAGTGAAATATTTAAAGCCAGTTTACATGCTGGTATATATCTTGATCTGACGTGGGCAGTTGTCATGTAACAATAGTAGCCATTCTTGCCACATATTACAAGTCAGAAAGTTTGGAGCCACTAGTATATATAGCAAGTATGATTGTAAGTACCACAGAAAGAAATGGCAACCTACTGCGGGAAAAATCTGCCTCGTCAGTCATGTATCGAAAGATACATGATCGCCTAAGCGTGTATCACGCATGGCAAATAACTGACTGATGATTGTAAGCAAGAATGCCGGACCAATATATGAGATACACGAGGATGTCAAGGCCAAGTAGGTTATCAAACTCTGTATTGCATTTTATCTGATCCTCTTATAAAATGAATGTTTTGAAATTTATTTTACTAGTGTAAATGATTTCTTTTATGGTGATTTTAAGTACACATTTTGTTGTTGTTCGTTTGTATTTTGTAAAAATTGTACGAAAGCTTTAGAAGTGAATGTTTAGAGAGAAAAATAAGAACTTATAATGACACTTTTTATTTGTATTCTTTTAAAATGAAAATGATATAAGATGATTTCCAACACTTCTTTGGAAAGAAAGAAAGAAAGAAAGAAAGAAAGAAAGAAAGAAAGAAAGAAAGAAAATCTAAGCAAGAGTAAACAAAACAAAGAAATCTAATAAATAAAGAAAGAAAGATCCACGGAGAAACAAACATACAAAAAAAGAAAGAAGAAGAAAGAAGAAAGAAAGAAAGAAAGAAAGAGAAATCTACGAATAAACATAAAAAGAAAGAAAGAAAAGAAAAAAAGAAAGAGAAATCTACGAAGAAAAAAGAAAGAAATCTACGAAAAACAAGCAAAAATCTATAAAGAAAGGAAAATCAAATGAAAGAAAAAAAAGAAAATGCTAAGAAAGAACGAAAGAAAATCTACAAAAACTAGAAAGAAAAAAGAAAGAAAAATCTACAAAGAAAGAAATTTGCAGACAAGGAAGAAATGTGCCAGAAATAAAGAAAATAAGAAAGAATTTATGAAGAAAGAAAAAGGAAACTATACGAAAGAAAAATTCACGAAGAAAGAAAAATCAATCAAATGAAAGTAAAAAAAAAGAAAGGAGCAAGAAAGAAAATTCTATAAAAAATAAAAAAGAAAGAAAACGGAAGAAAAAACTTCGAAGAAAAAAAAGAAAATGCTAAAAAAGAAAGAAAGAAAGAAAGAAAGAAAGAAAGAAAGAAAGAAAGAATCTGTGAAGAAAGAAAGGAAAAAACTACGAAAAAAAGAAAAAATCCAAGAAGAAAGAAAAAATATATTCACACTCAGAATATTGATTGGTCGAGCGATTAACAATAGTACGTTTTTATAATGATTCCACAGTTTTTCGATACCAATAACAAAATGAAAATCATAAAAATTGCAAAACTAGTATAAAAAGAAAGAATGAATTTAACTTAACGAACTCAATTTGTTTGTATATCCGCATTTCAAACATTTTGTCGGTAAAAAGGAATGAATATTTAATGTTATATGAATACAAATATTTTTTTATCATTAACCGGCCCGTCTAAAAGTTTATATTGGTGCGCAAGAGAATCTCTTTAGCTTTGATATAGAAAGCTAAAGAGAAAAAAATATTTACATCTGTCAAAATATATCTTCTTAGGTCTCTATATCTTAAAATCTATTTTTTACACAGACACACACACACAAGCATATATATATATATATATATATATATATATATAATTATTTTTTTTTTAATTTGATTCCTTCTCTACAAGAGTTCTCATGCATAAAATAAATAAAATAAAACAAAATTCGCTTGGCACTTAACGACATATTATGGTGCCAAAAGCTATCTTTCGCTGTGACTGACCAGACGATGTGCGCACATGAATGCCATCATTCGCTTTGAAATGGACCCCCGACCCTACCTGGGCTTGACCTCTTTCCGAAGGTGACTGATATGTGGATACAAATTAACTCTTATGCCCCTTATCAAAATAGTCGCCCCAGCCGTTTCCATAGTAATTAATTTTGCGAGCGAACATGCTTATAAAGATGCGTAAATTTCAAGATTGGTTATTCCTAAATTTTCGCTTAAGGATGAAACAGGGCTTGATACTTTAATTCAATTTAATTTTAATAATTAGATTGAGGTTTTCGGCTCTCGTTTTGAAACTTGAGAACTCTTATGTAGCGAAGAAATCATATTTTTTTTAAAAATAATTATAATTTAAGCTCTACTTCTGTATGGAGCACTGTTTTTTTTTAAATAAAAACAAAAATACTAAAGAACCCCGGATTATTTACCTAACGTTTTCTTTACTGTTTTTTTACATATCTGCACACACACACAAATACACACACACACACACACACACACACACACACACATATATATATATATATATATATATATATATATATATATATATATATATACAAGTAGAAAGAAAAGAAGGATCATATAATATTATATGAAAAGATTACTTAACTTTTAAATATCAATTTTATTCCGACTTCGAAGTTTCCTGGTAAAATTTCCAGTTTTCAGATGGTTCTGGTTTAAACCATATTTCCATTTTTTTCAATATATATATATAAGATCACTAAAAAAATGAGCATTATGAAAAAGGGACCAAAAAACTGAATATAAAAAAGTTTTATCGTCAAAATTTTTATGTTATTATTAAGAGGAACGACCAAAGGATTTTTTTTATTATTTTAATTATAATTATAGTTTTTAATACCTTTTAGAACTTTCAAAATTTTGGTTAAAATTTTGTCTTTCTTCTGTCAAAGTGGGTCCATAAATTAGTATACCAAAATTGAGTCTTTTTACGGGGAAAAGCATATTGATTTGGAAATACTTACGAAAATCAGATAATTGTCGGATTTTAATAATACTTTCTGTACTTGTTCGTAAAAGGATAACAATCATTTTTTTTTTTTTAGAAAATCTTCGTAAAAAATGTTTGCTTTTGCACGTTACCCGCAATTATTTAATTTTATGAAATTTTAAGAAATTAATTTTTGTTGCGTTTAATGTTTGTTTTCTATTTTTTTTTAAATTTTAATTATAATAATTTATAAACTTTTAAATCTTTTTAAAATTTGTATTAATTTGTAAAGGTTAACTGGTTATGTTATTATTTACTAATCATAAAATGGTATATATATATATATATATATATATATATATATATATATATATATATATATATATATATATATATATATATTATGGCTATATCCCGTCGAACCTAGTCAGTACCGAGATGGGTGACCGCATGGAAATACCAGTTGTTGTAAGCTTAAATGTGTGGGTGGTGTAATGAATTCTGGCTCGGAATTGTTAATCGGAGAGCCGAGTTCCAATTTTCGTTGTGTTCGTCATATTCACTTACCTGCAAATACCCTTGGGAAATATATATATATATGTGTGTGTGTGTGTGTGTGTGTGTGTGTGTGTGTGTGTGTGTGTGTGTGTGTGTGTAATAATCCGTTGGTAAATAATCCAAGTGGATCCTAATAATATAAAATATTAAAACTGATCCACAAAAAAAGCTCAATGTATTTCTTATAACAGAGCATAATATAAATTACATGGAATAAAAATCCGAAGTTACCTCTATCTCTTTGAGAAACATAGATGTTACCGCTCTCCATCCTCTCAAGACTGTGGGATACTCGATAGCATCTCTGACAGCATAGACAAGGCTCTCTCCCTCCACCCGTTTGCTCACATTTTTGTGTTTGGTGCCCATCATACAATGCTACTACTGACCACGCAGGCATTCAAACACTTAATTTTTCAGTTTCTCAATCCGTCACACAGATAGTTAACTTCCCCACTCGTTTTGCCTTCAACCGGGAAGGTAAACCCTCTCTTCTTGATCTGTGTTTTACCTCCATCCCCGAGTCTTGTAGCACCACGCAACTCTGCCCTCTTGGTAACTCTGATCATGCTGTAGTATCTGTTAACATCTCCTTCAACTCCACCCCCTGCAAAGAACCTCCTACCACTAGAACTTCGTTCTACTATCAACGAGCTGACTGGGACTCGCTCCGTGATTTCCTCCTCGATGTCCCTTGGGATGTTGTCTTTACGCTCCCCGTCCAAGAATGTGCTTCTGAGGTCTCATCCTGGGTTAAAGCTGGAATCGACGCTTTCATCCTCTCAAGGAAATATAGGGTCAAGTCGCGCTCCTCCCCCTGGTTCTCCGCTGCTTGCTCAGCCGCCATTGCTCATAGGAACCACTTCTTTCACCTATTTCGTAGCGACATGTCTGACTGCAATAGACGTCTCTTTGCCTCCGCCCGTAACGAGTGTAAGCGTGTCCTCAACGATGCTAAGTCACTATTTGCTGCTCGGATGAAGGAGCGTATTGCATCTCGCAAATTTGGCTCCAAAGATTATTGCCGTCTCTACAAGAGCGTATTGAACAATTGCAAACCCTCTATACCTCCTTTGTTCAACCAGTTCGAAGTCCTAACCTCCTCTGCCGACAAGGCTGAATGCTTTGCTCGGAAATTTTCATTCAACTCAACGCTCGACGCTTCCGGTGTACTCATACCCGACTTCCCTCTTAGAACTGAGGCCCTATTGAGTGGGTTACATATAACCCCGTCTTTGGTATTGGGCATTATCTCCAATTTAGACCCCAACAGGGCTAGTGGTGGAGATGGGATACCAGCCATTGTCTTGAAGAAATGCGCGCCTGAACTGGCGCCCGCCCTCTCTAAACTATATAACTACTGCCTCAAGGAATCTTGTTTTCCTGACTGCTGAAAGTCCTCTTCGATTGTTCCTGTCTTCAAGAACTCTGGCGACACCTCTAACCCTTCTAATTACCGCCATATCAGTCTCCTACCCATCTTCGGCAAAGTCTTCGAATCCCTAATCAATACCGAAGTGGTTAACAACCTTACATCCCATGATCTGCTCTCAGACAAGCAATATGACTTCCGCTTTGCCCGATCTACAGCTGATGTGCTTACGGCCATCACTGAAACCGTCTACCAAGCCCTTCAAAATAACGGTGAGGCTCGTGCCGTGGCCCTAGACATCTCCAAAGCGTTTGATAGGGTTTGGCATGACGACCTTCATCGCAAGCTCCAGGGTTATGGCATTACGGGTCGATTGTTTGACCTAATAAAATCATTCCTGTCAAACCGTGAATTGAAGGTCGTTCTCAACGGATTCTCCTCCAGTTCCTATCCCACGAACGCAGGTGTTCCTCAAGGCTCCATCCTAGGCCCCACTCTATTCCTTATCTACATAAATGACCTTCCTGACGCCATAAATTCCCAAGTTGGCATCTACGCGGATGACACCACAATTTACTCCTGCCTCAAAAACAAATCTAGTGTCGCTGACAAAACTAACCTGGCCGTGCGTCTCGAAAAGGACCTCCAATCGGTTGTGAACTGGGGCAGGAATTGGCTGGTCAACTTTAATGCCTCAAAAACAAAACTGCTCTCTATTAATCACCACAGAGATCCTTCCGTGCCCTCCATTAGAATGTCTGACGCTCAACTTCTCGAGAACACCTCTCTACGGCTGCTTGATCTCAGGTTGAATTCTGACCTGAGATGGAACAAATACATTGAGTCAATTGCTTTGTCCACTGCAAGGAAAGTTGGCTCCTGTGCCACGCCTGGAAATTTTTCTCCCGGAATCGATCCTCCAGATCTACAAATCAACAATTCGCCCTTGCATGGAGTATTGCTGCCATATATAGTCTGGAGCCCCTTCTGTTTGCCTCGGGGTTCTTGATAGGCTCCAGAGGCAGATATGCAATATAATTGGCCCTGTTCTGGCATCTCGTCTACAGTCACTCTCTCACAGACTCGCCGTCGCCTCTCTCTGTCGTTTTTACAAATACTTCCATGGCAATTGCTCCGAGGAGCTGTATTCGCTGGTTCCCAGACTTCATGAGTTCAAGCGCTTTACGAGGCTGGCATCCCACTCTCACCATTTCACTGTCGAAACTCCTAAATGTAGCCGTCTCTTCTACTCCAGTAGCTTCATGTCTCGCACCTCTCGCCTGTGGAACTCCCTTCCCTATTCCAGTTTCCCTGAGAGCTATAATCTCCAACTATTCAAATGTAATGTCAATCGACATCTCCAGTTGCCTTGATCTTCCACTATCCTTCTCCTCATCCTTTCCTCTATCACTCCTATCTGATCTTGCTCCAAATCTTCTGTAACCCCTTGCATCCTAGTGGCTTCTGCCTTGCTTGGGGTGAAACGCTTAAAAAAAAACAAAAAAACATGAGAATGATGAGAAAACCATATGAGCAACGAGGACATTCTAAGGGACTTACTTATAGGCCTTGTCAACTCAGAGATATCTCTGAGTTGACAAGGCCTACTAGAAAGTCTTGGTAGAAATAGCTATTCGAATGAGGTAACTTTGGATTTTTATTCTATGTAATATATATATACATATATAGGAATAAAGACAAAAGAAAAGGAAAATTTATCTTATCCGACGATTTTCGTCTTCTGATGGACTTTATCAAGACAAATGCCCTATTGCCTTCAATATGTCCTGTGAGTTTCAAATTCTCCAAGGGTTCATTTTTATTATGTCATCCATTTTTATTATGTCTTTCAACTCTTTCTTTCTGATTAAATGTTTTTGTTCCATTTGTCCTTTAAAATGTTCTCGTTGCTCATATGGTATTCTCATCATCCTTATGTAGAACAACATTTATGTTTCCTCAAGCAAATAGCACAAATTTTGGAGAAAAGTTTTCCTTGATTCTTAATCTTTAAAACAAGCACTAAAATAATTACATCATTATTTGTGTTTTCCATAGCAGAAAATATTACATAATATATTTAAAAATAAATAATTAAATATATCGTGTTATTTTACTTAGATAGATAGATAGATAGATAGATAGATAGATAGATAGATAGATAGATTTAATTTAGTTTTTTCTTGGCCTGTGAGTAAAAAAAAATAAACAAGCAATATGGCCCACTTTTTAAAAGTCTGACGACTCCTCTTTTGTAGTTTTTATATTCATTATTAAAGAAAACATGAGGAAAAGATTTAAGCTAACCTCAAAAGTGTGAAATACCGATCGATGGAACATGGATGATCAGGAGACTGAAGTTTTTGAGGAGCAGGCAAACACCTCTTAATTCCCCGGTCTACTCGGAGCCGGGGTGGTAGCACCTGTTAGGGTCCTAGCTACGGATATATAGTGAACCCCCGAACAAAAAATAAAACACTATAAAAGTACAAATATATATTTTTATATGAAATAAATTACCAACAATACATATTAATAGTAAAATTACTAACAATACAATTTTAAAACAAATTGACTAGCAATATATTTTATAATAGAATTACAAACAAATTTATAGCAAAATAACCAACAATACATTTTATCTGTAGTTGAAGGCATACAATTGCGTTCAAAATATATTTAGTTGAAGCCATAAAATTGTGTTCAAAATATTTAGATTTCGGCATTAAATAACGCAGAGAGGTATTGATATGCCGCTAGACAAAATCAACTAACTCACAAGATGTAATATTCTTCTGTTTAAGAGTAAATTTCTGTGATATTTCAACCACTAAAGTTTTCAAATTATAATTTTGTTTTGTCAAACTCCAAACCCTATTTTAAGTCGACTAAATTGAAAAGAGTCCTTTTTTTTTCTTTAAGATGAGTTTATTTTTGATATGTGTAGGAGACACAACTCCAAGCACAACGTTTGCAAAACAACACAGTTCTTAGTTTTTAAAATACGGAAAAGAAGCCCCGGTCTTTGAAATAGGGACATAATTTAGAGACACTTAGATTAAAAACTAATCGTCACACACAAGAAAGAACTGCATCCTTACAAAGAAGAAAGATTAAATATTGCTTAGATCAGGTGTTCTCAACCAGGGGTAAATTTACCCCTGGGGGGGGGGGTAAAAAATTATATAGTCGGGGGTAAATAATTGAAGTACCTGATGATTTAAAAAACCCGCCTGAAAGCCAATGATGAAATGAGAGTAGCATTATCAGAAACAGCTCCTCGTATAAACAAACTGATTGACTCAATTAATCAGCAGCGTTCCCACTGATAATGCTTCTGATGTTTCTGTTCATTAGTTTTTGAATAATTTTTTATTAATGACTAAAAACGTTAATAAAAATACTGAATTTTATACAGAGTACTAACTTATACTAAAAAATTAGTAGATTAGTACTAAACAAGAAATCAGTATTTTGAGTGTCGCTTAGTATTTTTTTTTTTAGGCACAGTATTTTGATTAAAAAAAGCCCTTAGTATTTTGAATGAAAAAATCATTCATTCATTTAGTCACGAAATTGTACATCAATGCTTTATGATGGCTATGAATTTTTTGTATGGGAGTAGGGGGGGGTGTAAATGGAGAAATACATAAAGCTGAGGGGGTCAATGATGGAGGAAA